TTAGATCATTGACTTCAAGGCGTGCTACAAATGCCACTTTCTTTTAGGTTAATTTTGCCCCCACCAGATCTGGTATGCAAAAAGGGTAACCCGAAATGCCCGTATGATACAATGAAGCGTCTTGTTGATCTTACTTTTGCACTAGCAAGATCAATCACTGAACCATCCTTTGGAAAGCGATAAAACAATAATTTTTGTACAAGGATTTCTGCAGCAATTGAAGTGAAAAAAAGGCTGTTTTATTTAGATAATAGTAGGGATTGGGTTCAAGAGACTCCTTTTGAGAAGAAGAGATAACTCCATATTTATAGGGCAAGATGTATGTTGGAATAGACACTTCTTTTCAAGATGTCTATTGGGAACAAACACTTCTTTTCAATTTTTATCCGTTGAAAACTCTTCCAAAAGTCATTTGGTTTAATTTGAATTCCAACTCACGTGTTTCCTTGACTTTCAAAATTATCCACTCTCTTCATAAACTTATCTGAATTTTATCTCTTATTCTGACGTAAATGGTTCGAATCAGATAAATGTGATTCGAACCAAAATCGTAAATTTTCGGATTTTAGTTTTATGTAAATGATTCGAATCATATAATTATGGTTTGAACCAAAGTTATACTTTCTTAAATGCATTCTGTGCAATTGCTTCGAACCAACTTTTGTGATTCCAACCAAATCTTGGAAATATTTTGAAAATTCCTCAACAATTTTCACCTTTATGCAGATGAAAGGGATCCAGAAGTCCATCTGGCGCAGCTTAAAAGGTTTTCGCTTCAAGAATTACAAGTTGCCACAGATTATTTTAGCAATAAAAATATTTTGGGTAGAGGTGGATCTAGAAAAGTTTACAAAGGATGCTTAGTAGATGGTTCACTTGTGGCTATAAAAAGACTACAAACAGCGCATACTCCTGGTGCTGAGCTACAGTTTCAAACAGAGTTGAAGATGATCAGCATGGCTGTCCACCGGAATCTCTTAAGGCTGCGTGGCTTTTGTATGACTCGAACAGAACGGTTACTTGTATACCCTTATATGGCTAATGGAAGTGTTGCATCATGTTTAAGAGGTAAATCATGTTAGCATCATACTTCTATGAATGATTTGTTGTTATCACTTTTTTGTTGAATTATTTTTTGTAACCAACTTTCTAGTCATAAACCTTCTCATCTACTAACCTTCTGATAAAACGTTCCTGTAGAGCGTCCTCCATCACAACCTCCTCTTGATTGGCCAACTAGGAAGCGAATTGCATTAGGATCTGCCAAGGGTCTATCATATTTGCATCACCATTGTAACCCGAAGATCATTCATCGTGATGTGAAAGCTACAAATATTTTATTGGATGAGGAGTTTGAAGCTGTTGTTGGGTACTTTGGGTTGGCTATACTAATGGACTACAAGGATACCCGTGTAACTACTGCTGTACGTGGCACAGTTGGTCATATTGGCCCAAAGTACCTCTCTCCCAAGAAAGCTTTGGAGAAAACTGATGTCTATGGATATGGGATTATGCTTCTAGAACTAATAACTGGGCAGCGGGCCTTTGATCCTACTCGGCCTGGAAAGGCCAATGATGTCATGTTGGTTGATTGGGTATGTGCGCTTCCGATTCTTTCTTTTCTCTTATCATTAATTATGACAGTGGATTTGTTTCTCTTCTTTCCCTTGTGATATTGTACCCGATGTGGATGTTATTCTTTCCTTTGAAACATGTTCTACTTCGCCCATAGGGTAAAGTTGGGTGGGGCAATCTCAGTTTTGTAGAATATTTGTTCTGCAGAATAAGGATAAGAGACCTGCCAAGCTTGCTTTGTTTGTACACTTGTACCATGAATCTTATGAAAAAAAAATGAGTCACAAATAAGAAGTAAAGATGGTAAAAAAATCGTATCGTTTGATAGCTCAGAAAAAGTATTTTTACTACTAGATGATTGAATAGGATTTCGAGTAGTTGAGTTTATAGTGTAAAAGGGGATCTTGAGATAAAAACAGGTTAATTGGTTTCCTTTTGCTCTTGGTGCTTCCACTTTTTGAATAACTCATGCAGCTAATTTTCACAGGTAGAAGGATTTCTTATGAAAAAGAAGTTGGAAATGTTGGTAGACCCTGACCTCCAAAACAAATATGTAGAATCCGAGGTTGAGCAGCTAACCCAGATTGCAATGCTATGCACGCAAGACTCTCCTAAAGACCGACCTCAGATGTTAGAAGTAGTGAGAATGCTTGAAGGAGATGGTTCTTCGGAGAGGTGGGATGAGTGGCAAAGGTTGGAAATTTTCCAGCAAGAGTTCAAACTCACCTCTCACCTTAATACTAACTGGATCGTTGACTCAACAGAAAATCAAATTCCAGTTGAGTTATCTGGTCCGAGATGACCATGGCACAGCAACAGTAAAGAGAGGAAAGTTACTAGTTTTTTTTTTTGGGTTATCTAGTGACCATGTACTGTTTTATATCTATGCCCATTCCAATTTGTATTCTTTACGTTTGTGCACATGAGTCATCTTTGTTGAGGTCCAATTTGTATCTTCTGCTGTAGTTTGACAGGGCCAATATCCGTTCTTGTATATTTACAGCTAAGGCATGCAGCCTAATCTATTAGCATCTCATGTTTGAACTTTGTTCTCCATTACATCTTTTTTCTTTTGGGCATAAAAACACCTGCAAAGGATGCAATGCTTGTCCCGTTATATTTAATTAGAGCTACCATACCCACCTCTTAGCCGGCAATAGAGCCTTCTTCTGCCCTTTACACAAGTCTGCTTTGACCTAACCTTATAGATTGGCCTTGTTTGCTACTGACACAGGTTTAAGTACCATTTTGATCTTTTAACTTTTTACTTTAACATCAAAATTATCTTTTAACTTTAAAAGGTACTAAAATTATCCTTAAATTTTTATTTTTAGTACCAAAATAATCCTCCCATCAGTTAAATAGACAGCTAACACATTGTCATAACCCGATTTTTCACTTAGATTTTTCATATATATATATATCAATCACAAAATTAATAAAAAAAAATAAAAAAAAAATAAAAAAATGAAAATTTCCCTTTTCTTTGATTAATATATCTTTATTTTGTTTCAGGTGCTATGTACAAAAATAAATTCAAGTAGAAATGGGAAAAGAAACTCGAGAAAGGACTCAATTGAAAGAATCAAAAGTTTGAAAGTGAAATTCATCAAATTTACAAACCCAACACCAATTCATTTCAATTGAGCCCACTAAATTATCCGAACCCAAAAAACCAAAACCTAAAACCCATCAAGATCAACTACCAACACCCAAATCCAAAACCAAAACCTAAACAAACAATAAAAAAAAAAAAGCAATCGGATAAAAGGGGTTGAATTCAGATTTGTTCTTGGGTTCCCTTTTTCTGATTTTTGGAGAGAGCGGACATCAATAGCCACGGATCTGTGGTCTTTTCTGCGCCTCACAGTAGCCGCTCACCATCCTCTCCATCGCACAGCAGCTAGCCAGCCGTCCTCCTCAGTTTTCTTCCATCTCTGCTACTCTGTCTTTGCTTAGGTAATTTCTGAACAGAGGAATTTTTTTTGGAAGGGCAGTGAAGGAGGTGATGGGAGCTTGGTCCCGTGGGTGGGATCCCTTCCATCAAATCCAGATCTACCTTCTCCTAAAAATTCTGCCATGTTTGCTTTTACCATTTTCTGTTGATTTTCCCTGTGTTTTCTGTTTTTTTTTTTAGAAGTGATGTTAAGCCTGTATATGTTTGCTGGAAAATGAATGAAAATCAAGGATTGTTCTGTTTATTGCTTGATGAATGTGCTTTTACTGGAAATGAGATGAACCCTAATTTTCAATTCTGTTTCTCTCCAGATTCCTTTTTTTTTTTCTTTGGTTCGGTGTTTGATCTATTTTTGCAATGTTTGGATGAAAGGTTTTGTGTTTTTCGGGTCTAATGATCCGACCCAATAAAAAAAAACTAAAAAGAGAAAAAGGTAAAAAAAAATATATAGATAAATAAAATAAAAAATTGATTAGGTTAATTAGTTTAATTTATGATTAATGAAATTAATTAATTTTAATTAAAATAAATTAATCATATTTATTAGCTTTAATTTGAAATAATTGGATTTAGTTAATTATCTTAGTTAAAGATTAATAAATATGATTAATTAATTTTAATTGATATCAAATTAATCATTTAATAATTTAATGAAATTAATTATCTTAATCTTCTATTTGCCTTAATCTTGTTAAAAAAAAAAATGCAAAAGTTATCTCTTTTATTTCAACCTTCAACTTCACAAAACTTTTATATTTAAGCACTTTAGTCCAAAAGTTTCAAAATTTTTTAAATCAGTCTTTTATTTTTATTTTAATCAAATCAGTCCTTTTAATTTTTATTTGTGCTTATTATGCATACATGTCTTTTATTTTGTCCATTTTAGTCCAAAAATTAAAAAATGTTTCAATTTGGTTTATCCTTTTTTAAGTTTTCCTATTAAGACTTAAATATAAAGATAATAAATAAGTTGAATTAAAACCCTTAATGTTAAAGTATGCAACCGTGTTTAAATGAAGGATTGTGAGGTACGCGTATGTCCTTCTTCACTCTTAATCGAACTCTTGAATTCTAATCTTTGCGTAGACTTATTTTAGGTAATTTGTTTCAACTTATAATTTGAACGAGTGGCGATTCCATTTTCTTTTATATTTTTCACTTCCACACGTAACGATAATAATAGATTTTTTGTTATTTTGAAATTTTAAGTGGTCTTCAACACAAGTTAAATGGGCAACTAGCACGTTAAATGGACAGCTGGCACATTAAATGAACAGATGACATGTTAAATGGATAGCTAGCACGTTAAATGCCACAACATCATTGGACAACTTAATTTTAATGACGTGTAAATTTTAGGTAAGAAAATTTGATCTTTTTTATTATTGTTTCACAATTTTTCAAACTAAATTTTTTTTTCATCTTTTTCCTTTTTATTCTTTTCTCTCTCTTCTCCCTTCTTCCTTTCCAAATCAAATCTAGATCTGGGTTTTTCTCAAATCTAGATCTGGGTTTTTCTCAAACCCATATCTCCATTGCCATCTTCCACCCCCCCCCCCATAACATAGTTACTTAAGATGCTCTCTTCTCCTCCTTTCTCATCCTTGTTTGTCCCTTTCTCAAAACTCAATGTTTCTCCGAACCCACCTCCTGTAACTCACGCCACACTCAATTCTATACTCCGAGTGCCACCGCCACAACCACCAGTCGTTATACTTCTAGGGAAGAACAGGGATCTTGTTATCTGAGACCTCAGGGTATGGCATCCTGCACATCGTTGTACAAGATTCTGGGTATATCGGTGGGGCTATGGAGACGAATACAGGCGTTGACAGGTAACTGGATGTAGGATTAATTGTTTGGTGGAAGCTTAAATAACTGTTAGTGGTTTTGATTTTGTTCATTTTCTTTTAGCCACGGGCATCATGATGATGAAGATGATCAGGGAGATGGGGTGCCAAAACAAGTTGAGGAAGAGGAGGAACATGACAACAATCATGTAGTTTGTGCGGAAGAATGCGACATTGGTTCCAATTCTTTGTAGGGAGACGTTGACGTTGGATGGGAAAAATCCATATATAGGTTTGAGAAAAATCCAAATCTGGAATTGAGAAAAACCTAGATTTGGGTTTGATTGGGAGAGGAGGAAGAAGGAAGAAGAGAGAAAAAGAATAGGAAGAAGAAAGAAGAAGGATGAGTGGGGAAAGGAAGGAAGAAGTTTGATTTTTGAAGGATTGAGAGAGAGAGGAGAAGAGGAAGAAAAAAATCCAGCACTGGTGATGGTCAACCCAGATTCGCTTAATCTCTGTAAAGAAAAAAAACCTAAAATGGTGAAATGGAAAAATGGAATGAGAAGAGATGTCGAAGGAATAATGGCCTAAGGACAAGAGAGAGAGACAGAGGGGAAGAGTGAAGAAGAACAGGCTTAGGAATGAATGAGAGAAAGAGAGGAATGATGAAGAAGAACAGGAGAATGAGGAAGAAAAGGTTAATCGACTTTAATAATTAATAATAATTAGTCCTTATTTATTTATTATAATTAAAAGTGCCACCTCATCAATTTGTGAGTTTTTTTTTCCACATCAGTATTTTTTTTTCAAAAAGATATAATTACCTGGCAACTTAATGTGCCAGATGTTCATTTAACTATCATTTTGGTACCAAAAAATGAAAGTTTAAGGATAATTTTAATACTTTTTAAAGTTGAGGGATAATTTTGGAGCCAAAGTGAAAAGTTGAGGGAACAAAATGATACTTAAACCACTGACGCATAATAATTTTTCTTTTGAACTTAAGAAATTTTTGGGATGGGAGAATTAGTAGTGTCTAGTTGTAAAATTCAAAATTTTATATCCTAACACCTCTTTTCTAAGGAATATAACTATTAAACTACCAAATTGTTATATAGTGAATTCTTTAAGGACGACTTAAATAGAAATTGCTAGGAAGCCCGGCTGATTTAGAAAAAAAAAGAGGTTAAATGCTAATTTTGGTCCTCAACTTTATTGAGTTACACTTTTTTTGTCCTTAAACTATTTTATGCATTTTTTTTATCTTTAACTCTAACAACTGCTCATTTTTGGTCTTCTGTCAATTTAGGTTGTTAATTTCATTCGCATGGTATATATATATTTTTTTGATGACATAGACAATTCAATTGAAAAAAAATAATGACATGAACATCCAACTAGAAAAAATGATGACATAGATTATCCAACTAGAAAAAAATGATGATATGGAGATAAATTTTTATATTTTTAATAAAAAAATAAAAAAACCTCTCAACCTATCTTATTCCGCCTCTTTTATTCCGCCTCTTTCTTCCTCATCCTGCTGCTACCTCCTCTACTGACCAAACCTAGCAAAACTAGGATCCACCAAACCTTCTCCCCCCTCTTTCTCTTGTGTGAATCGGGTTTCCTTATGGTCGGAGGATTTTGCATCTTTGAGACTAAATCGATGCTCTCTTTTGTTTTAGTATCAAAATGTCATTGACTGAATTCTTCAAGGACTACTTAAAACAAATAGCTGGGAAGCACTGACAGGAGATTGCAAAAAGGTTATACGTCATCTATAGTCCTTTAACTTTCAATTTTGAATACTTTTAATCCACTATTTTTTTTCTTAAATAATAAAAAAATATATTTTTTAATCTTTTTATAGATTAATTTA